AAATAAACAGAGCCAAGTTAAAGAGCTATTTTAAAATAGTCTTACTAGGCTGCAGAGTCATTAAGTTGATATTCGTTGGAACGCGAAAAGCTTTCAAGAACGCCCCTATCATGCCACAAGCGGTATATTGATTCTGCTAAATCTTTAGGAATGAAACCCTCTTCAACTACTTTTGCCTTAGCAAAAAGTAGACGAGCATCGTCCTATCTTGGAAGTGATAAATATATTAATTAAAATACAAATTATAAAGTCATGTATAAAATCTTTTCAAAAAATCGAATATTTCAGTCAGTATTTCAAATTAAAACTAAGAAGCTAATCAAAAAATAATAAAATAAACATAGTTTTAAACTGTAAAATTCTATAAATCTACATACTCATAGGAGAATGCGCAAAGATTTCACACATTTGCAAATAATCATGAGCATAAAAGATAGTAAAGCAATAAAGGATACAATATATCAAATATAAACTTCAGTAGTTAAATAAAAAAAGAATAGCTGATTCTAGTTGATAAATTGAATTTCCAAGTTTATTAGCTTGCCATTCTGTCATCGTCTGAAAAATTAATGCGTAATTCGCCCATCGCTCGAATTATAGCAATCATGCTTTGAAGCATATTACTATAAACAATCAGTTTGAAGCAAATTCGTTCTTCTGGCGAAAAGCCATTATCATGTATTATTCTGATTAAAGTGAAAAAAATAATTATGTTACTTAAGCTGCTTCACTATTGTACTTTTGCCAGATTCTCCAGCGCCCAAAAGCAAAAGCTTAACATCTCGATCCATTTTTTCTCCATCACTCTTTAAAGACTTGTCTATTTCTTTTGATCTTTTTATAGCCTCTTTGGCATCCTTGCTGAGCAAGCAGCCCATCGCGTGGATAGTGCATAAAAACAATCAAATAAAGCAGATCAATTAAGAAAAAACAAATCTCATAACAATATTTTCAAAATTTATTGAAATCATTTAAAATCTAAATTTAATTATTATTCAAAACAAATTAATATATTGTGTGATATATTTTGAAATTTGTAAATAAAGATAATATTACCAATGTATAAGTATAGGATTGGTTTACAAACTATAAAAATGTCTAAGCCTTTATAGCCTACGTGCGCATAGTGTCACCCTTTTGTCAAGTTTAAACTCGCTTCCATATCAAGTATATGCGTACCACCGTGTCTCCCATATACAACATGTTGAGTTAGTGAATGTGTCTGATAATACAA